ATAGTTTCTGAATACGACGAAAATAGTTTCTGAATACGACGAAAATAGTTTCTGAATACGACGAAAATAGTTTCTGAATACGACGAAAATAGTTTCTGAATACGACGAAATAGTTTCTGAATACGACGAAATAGTTTCTGAATACGACGAAAAGAGTTTCTGAATACGACGAAATAGTTTCTGAATACAAGAGTTTCTGAATACAACGAAATAGTTTCCGAATACAACAAAATAGTTTCTGAAGACTAGTTTCTGAATACAGTGCAGTTTCTGAATCCGACTTTGTTCTGGTGGTGATGGCGGCGACGACGACGACGATGATGATGTTGATGGTGGTGATGATGGCGGTGGTGATGGTGGTGGTGATGGTGGTTATGGTGTATCAAGTATTGCGCCGGCCATGAAACCTGCACTCTTCAAGGTCCACAAAGCACTGCACCTGCCACGAAATCTGCACTGCTACGAAATCCACATGTCAAGGTCCACAAAGTACTGCGTCTGCCACGAATTCCGCGTTCCAAGGCCACAAACTACCGCGCCTGCCACGAAATCTGCACTTCAAGCCACAAAGTACTGCCACGAAGTTTGCACTTCAAGGTCCACTGTCCGTAACGTACTGCGCCTGCCACAAAATCTGTACATCGACAAAAAACCACTCCGATTGCCTGCATTTGCCACGAAAAGTGCATTTTGGACCACCAAAGCACGAGGTTTTATCCACGCCACGAAAAATGATCACCGAGTCCCAAAATGTGCACGGCACAACGAGAGCGCAGTCTCGAAGAGCACCCGCCGCGGCCCACCAGATTCCGCGAGCCTGTGCAGTCGAAATGCACTTCGAAGATCTATGTGAATGAATGTACTGTAAATAGCAGCGACTTAGCCGCCGGCCGATGTGAGCACCTCCGATCAGACACCCGTCCTTAACCACTACCAAGAACCCCTAATGTGCACACACTGTTTGGGGAAACATGACCATTCTGGAAAAAAGATTCACAACACTTGTTGAAAGAACTGGCACATCCAGCTAGCCTGCAGAATCTCCTAGGCCCCGGGCATTCAAAGCCAGGACAAGAGCGACAATCGCAACGCCCAGGAAACACGAGGCACCTCAAGGATGGCTTGAAGCAAGTTGAGAACCACTGTAGAATCTACACACTGAAACTTGCACAAGTCCCAACAGTCCCAAAAGGCCAATCCTCAAAGCAAACAGTCTCCTGATGGCCAACTGGGTCAACGAATTTGTCTGACATGGATCACTGGGGCAACAAAAGCATGCAAAAGCTACGCAAGGAGAAATGGCCAAGCGCCCATATGGAAGGGTGCGGAACCGCTTCCATATGTGACCACCACCTTGCCTATGTGTGACTTCTTCTGGCGCGAACAGAAACTCCTCAACTGGAATACACGCAAACCACATGCTCATGTCTGTTGATCTCAGTGCCTGCGATGCTCCAGGGCAAAGTGAAGAGCCCTGTCCCAAGACCACACACCACGATGTTCAGCATCAACTGTGGGCCTACGTGGTCAAAGGGATTCAAAGGGGTCAACTGTTAAACAGGGGAGTAGAGTAGAACATTGCACATCGTCTGGACGACTGTGTCTCACAGACCCCCTTGTGGCCCCCATGACTGAAAATAACTAGACCTTTTGCCTGTGGTGGCAAATGCACATCCTTCCTGAAGAATATAGGAACAAGAACTGGCATCGCTACTAGGAACCTACTAGTAGTAAGGACGCTAGTAACGAATATAGTAGGATCATGTAGGATTCGTATAGGGGCAGGATGTCACCTCAGCTACGCTACTAGTAGCTCCTGGCCTTACTACTAGGAACAAGAGGACGCTACTAGTACAAAAGGGCATCGCTACGAATGGAGCAAGGACGCTACTATAAGCCTAAGCCAATGTAGTCCAATATTTTGGGATCAGCCCTATATAAACATCCAAGGACAACCCATATTATATGTTGCGTACTGTACCAGTATTCATTACTTATTGACCAACAGTAATGGCTTCTGTGGGGTACCAAAGTGAGGCTTATTGTCTGAGGCCTGGTTTGTCGAGAGTAAGGGCCAGGTTCTTCTTCCTTATTAGTTTGTTACGGCTGAACGCTGGCCAACATGAATCCGCAATCTGTACAATTCATGGTTCCATGGTAGATACAGAAATACTACACCGGCTCACCACATGGTCTTCTGCTTCATTGGTTCAAAGGCACGGTTCCCTGCAGTTGAGAGCCCGGTCGCCTGTCGCAGTTCCAAGGGCCCTGGAGGTTTTCAGCAGCCCTGTGGATTCAGTAGCCTCTTTCCTCGGCGTGAAGTTCCCGAAAGCATATACCAAGGTTTATGAGACACAATGGGATTAGCCTGCGCAAAGCTACACGCAAAGTTTAGTGTCAGCACCATGTGACATGGGTTTGACCAAAGGTTTGCCTCATTCAATCGCATAAAAGCAGTTGACAGTAAATCCCAAATGCTGCCTTAGCTTCATGGCGCCTCTGTCAGCGCCGCTCACTTCAGTCATCTCTTCATCCTAAAAACAACGGAGGACGCCCGGTCAAATGCACTAAAGATGCTTGCGCTACATAGCTATGAGCCACAGAAATGGCAGGCAGGAAATCAGGCTAGAGTGTAGAGGCACATTTACTAGCCGTCAGCTGTTGAACGTTACACCTGGCAAGGATCTGGTGAAGCTGTGCAGCTCAAACCCTGTACATGTAACAATTGTACATGTATCGCTACTAGTAACAAGGACATCGCTACTAGTAACAAGAAGCTACTAGTACAGTAGCGATGCACTTGTTACTAGTAGCGGCGCGGAAAGAATTCTGAAGACTCTGGTGGACTTTGCCACTGAGCGAAACCCCTGAAGCCCCCTGTTCCTAGTTAGGTGGGAACCTGCTCCAGCTGTATGTATCTTGTAGAATCGAAGGCTCCAAATCACAACCCTAAGAATCGGTCAAGCCCATTGACAACATGCAGGATCGGCCCAAGGACCATCAAGGACCTTTTGAATTTAACCAAATGTCTGGAAGTGGCTTCCATCCTTCCATGGAACTTCGGTCATGTTTCCAGCAATCTAATTTGTAAGCCCCACCGTCCAAAAACATCAGAATTGCACCCGTTGAACTTTAAAGTCTTGGCAACCCCACAAAGCAACTTTCGTCACAAGTCTTTTCAGCATGGCTGCTTGGCTTGCTCCGCCCGAAGGTCAAATCTAGAGAATCAGACGTGCTTCTTGCCATGCCTTTGCAGGTGAAGCCATTCACGCAGGTGGCTCAGCTCTCACATTCAAAGTCTTCGGCCTCTTTGGTTGTGCCAAAACGGCAAGCACAGAAAAAAACGTGAGTTCCTCAGTCTTTCCACGTATGTATGTGGTGTCTGTTGACACACTGCGAATGTCGAGTCCATGGTTTACAAATACATCCACCCGATCAGCCAGAGGGATGCCTTGAAAGAATAAGCAGAACGAAACCTCCATTTCCTCAAAAAGCTTTGGCACCAGGAAAACTTGCAAAGCCTGATTCTGCCGATAGAAGCTTTGGCAACAGTGCATTGGTTCAGCCTGAGAGAACTGCCTCCAGAGAATCATGGAACCGTACTGGCTTTGCCTGCCTACCACTTTACATTCCCTGCACGTCCTATGATGGTGCATTTGTTCATGAACAAGAAAGCCATGTGCCAGTGGGCAGGTTCGGCTACGAGACATGAAGTCAAGCCGAGGGCCTCTGACTGCCATGAAGCCCAGAAGCCTTGAAGTCGGAAAAGCAAATTGGGTTCAACTCAGGCGACATCGAAAATTCGCTTAGACGCTTCCGTTGCAAAGGGTTGCTGGGTGTTTCAGGCTTGATCCACTCGCTTCGACTCGCTTCATACGTTTTTTTCCATGTTTTTTCAGCTCCGCAAACGCTGGTTGCTTCTGCACAGGGCTCCCCCACGCTGCACCCGCAAAGAGTGTTGCAGAGCTGGGACCTGTGGCCTGCTAGGGATGGAGCTACAGCTATGGAGCTTTGTGATTCACAGGAGCTAATTGAGGTGTTCCATGTCGTTCGATCATCTTATGTAATCCAATAAAATCCCTACCATACGTATTCAGGGGGGACCTCTGGAAAATGTAAGTTACGTTTTCTGACCATACCACCTTGAAAATGTATTACTGTATTACATTTTCCTGAACCCCCCTGGCTTACATTTTCTAAAAATGTAAGCTTACATTTTTGAGGTCCCCCCCAAAAGTTCAGGGGGGGTCCAAAATGTAAGTTACATTTTTGAAAACATGTAAGTTACATGTTTGACAAAATGTAAGTTGCGTTTCTGGAGGTCCCCCTACATTCCTGGGTAGGATAGAATATCAATATAATGATTTCATCGCTCGCAGCAGTGATTCAGGTCATCCATGTTCTCAGCAGCTTTGAACCATATTCAGGTGTGCTGGTGCTCACATCATCATGTCGCCCACCATGCCCGACCACCAGCAGCACCCAAAACAGCAAAGTCTGCATTCACGAACGCTGCCCGATCCTATTCTCTCCGTTCCTTGTGTTTCCTTGGGCCTAACAAATAGGGGGAGGGACAGATGGGGGGGAAAAATGTAAGTTACAGTACATTTTTCTACCCCCCCCACAAAATCGGAAACGGATCAATATGGCATGGACTCTTCCATTGTATTCCCCAGGAATAACCGAGGAATGATTCATTCAAATCATGGGGGGGGTCACATCCACAATATACTGTCTTGTGTACCTACAGTCCTACAGTCTTAAATCTTACCTTTAATACACCCCCCCTCCCCCCAAACAAATGTAAGTTACATTTCTGGAGGTGCCCCTCCATTTTCGATGGTTAAAGGGGTAGGGATCCAATAAATTTGATCGTCTCATTTGTTCCATGTCATTGTTTGCTGTTCGGTCCTCTTTATTGAAGCTTGCGCATTGGTGATGATCTGTTCGTCAAGGGAGAGGGTCTCTGCATGTCTCTGCACCATCTTTGGTGCATCCATGACGAGTCTGGAAGCGCACAGTGTGTAGCGTACGGAGTCCTACCTGAACGACCCACTAAGGCTCATCTAGGCTCCCAAAAGCGCCTTCTCTGTGGCAAAGGCTTCTGCAGCTGCCTTGGCCTGGAAGTCAACAAATCAGGGGTCCACAGAAGTAGGAACCATGCCTGCTTCCAACTTCTATATCTCGAGCCATTCCTATGTCCAAGTTTCCTTCATCGAGTTTCAGAACACGACCTTGTGAAGTTCCTTTTATGCGATGCTAGTTCTGACAATGCTATACCAAGAAACATAGAGTATGAATGATTCTCGTGGCCTCAAAAAGAATCAATAAGACATGTTTCTTCTCCGCTGCGACTATGTCAGCCATTGTCACAACTACACAAGGTGGCCTACATGGAATCTACTGCAGGCGGCAAACCATCTATGGCCAGTCTTCCTTAAGGAAGTCAGTTCATTAGGATCTAAGCCGCAATTACATGAGGAATACATATACAGTATATTGTCTTTATGTTGCGCATTTCATGTGTAATATTCCCAAAACACTTTACCGTTGGGGTTCTCTCTTAGGAAAAAGAGGCCACTGCGATCACGTCCCAGGTCAGCTCCCTTCCTAAATGTGGTATTTCTCAAGCTCCCTCCCTCTTTCCGTTGCCCGTCATTGCCATAGTAGGCCCATACCCTGCGTGGCCCGGTGGGACCTGGGTGGGTTCTGGCTTGCGCCACAATCCTTCTGTGAAGTCGGGCTTGGAGGCAGTTACCCGTGCAGCAGCGACCATCAAATAAACTATGTTAGCTGCTAGAATGAGACAATCGCAGTGTGGCCGCAGAAATGCTTTAATTATCTGAGACATGCATAGCTTAATCTTTCAGACGGGGATATGACTGCGGACATCACCACAGCCTCCCAGCAACCCCGCCTCTCGGCTAGTGAGAGGCCGGTGGGTTGCCGGAGGCTTTTAAAACTGCGGATTTCTGATAACGTTTCATCTTTGTTTTTTGGGCAACCCCCAGTTGCAAAAATCACATCCACTGAATATATAAGTTGTTTAAAGAAACACAATGAAAACTCTGAGATCTAAGAGTCGCTGTATAAATGTCGGCTGAGAAGTGTGGCACCATGCCTTCCTGGCCCTGTGGATGTCGATGGAATCCTTGTCAAAGGTATCCTGAGCTTCGCGTGTGCAACTTGCTGGCCAACCTCCCAAAAAACGCAGTCGATCTGTAGATTGCGCAGGTTTTTCCTACTTCCACTGATCTCATTCCACTCATTTCCGGTTTCACACGCCGCGAGAAACTGCTGCTCTCTTAGCCAAACATGCTGGGATCGGCACCCACCACCTCACTCTTTCACGATCCTTGGAGAATGGTAAGGCACCAATCAACTGCAGCAACTGCCAAGTACCGTTGGCCCGTTTGCCCCGCTCAGAACTCTTGCCTCAAATCCCAAAGACCATTTTGGGGTCCCACATGGTCACATGGTCAAAGCATGAAGTGCAGCCGGGGAACTTCAGGCTTGGTAGTTTCCTTGCTCGCAGTCTGATACAGGTAGTCGTCAGGAGGGAAAACGGTAGGCCTGGCACAGGTGCACAAAGGATTGCGGAGGTTTCAGAGGCTTATAATTGTGCCGCAGCTGTGCGGGCAAATTCTTTGGAAATCTTGACTGTATTGAAAAACAGATATAATTACTTTAGTTCGAGTGATCCCCACCATGACATTTCAAAACAACCACGTTGACATCACCCTCGTTGTGTATTTCAGCTCATAGCACAAGTCCTTCAGCGCCAAGTCTTACTGTTTTGTCCGAAGCGAAAGCTTTCATCAGGAGACCTGTGCCCAACTAATAATACAACTCAGATCATTTCACCTGGGAAACTTCCAGGGCCCGAGCAGTAGTAGTAGTAGTAGCAGTAGTATAGTAGTAGCAAAAGTAGTAGCAGGCAATAGTAGTGAACAGTTCGGGGCCCGACCTTCGGGGCCCAAACCTAGGAAACGCCCGGGCCCTAGTAGTAGTCGTCGTCGTCGTAGTAGTAGTAGTAGTCGTCGTAGTAGTAGTCGTCGTCGTCGTCGTAGTGGAAGTGGAAGTGGAAGTGGAAGTGGAAGTGGAAGTGGAAGTGGTAGTAGTGGAAGTGGAAGTGGAAGTGGAAGTGGTAGTAGTAGTAGTAGTAGTAGTAGTAGTGGTAGTAGTAGTAGTAATAGTAGTAGTAGTAGTGGTAGTAGCAGTAGTAGCAGTAGTAGTAGCAGTAGTGGTGGTGGTGGAGTAGTAGGAGTAGTAGTAGTAGTACTAGTAGTAGTAGTAGAAGTAGTAGTAGTAGTAGGTAGTGGTAGTGGTACTGGTACTGGTAGTGGTAGTAATAGTTGCTGTTAGACACAGTTCGGGGCCCGAGCTTCGGGGCCCGAACCTGGGAAACTTCCGGGGCCCGAGCAATAGTAGTAGTAGTTGTAGTAGTAGTAACAGTAGTAGTAGTAGTAGTAGCAGTAGTAGTAGTAGGCAACAGTAGTGAACAGTTCGGGGCCCGACCTTCGGGGCCCAAACCTAGGAAACGTCCGGGGCAGTAGTAGTAGTAGTAGTAGTAGTAGTAGTAATAGTAGTAGTGGTAGTAGTAGTAGTGGTAGTGGTAGTCGTAGTAGTAGTAGTAGTAGTAGTAGTGGTGGTAGTAGTAGTAGCAGCAGTAGTAGTAGTAGTGGTAGTAGTAGTAGTAGCAGTAGTAGTAGCAGTAGTGGTGGTAGTAATAGTAGTAGTAGTGGTAGTGGTACTGGTAGTAATAGTAGTAGTAGTAGTAGTAGTAGT